GAAAGGTTATATGAGAGGGGTGGCAATAACATATATGGCAAAAAGAAAAAAGAAAAAAAGCAACGACAGAAAACATTAGAAGGAGAATACAGAAGACTGCAGAAGAAATTGCAAGAAGAACCTCAAAAAAAAAAAAAAGAAATAAAATTACAAATGGACCTGATAAAACATAAAATAAATTTACTCGAGAAAGAAGAATTAGCACAACAACTGAAAAAGACAAAACAAAACTTCAAGAATGCCAATAAGCCAGGAAGATGGCTGGCCTATAAATTGAGAAAACAGAGAGAAAAAAGGTGGATCACCAAATTACAAAATGAACAGGGAGAGCTGTGCTACCAAGTGGAGGATAAAAGAAATATAGCTCAGAGATTCTACAAGATATTATATAATGAAGATAAACATCCTATAGAAGAAAAAGTGGTAAGATGCTTTAAAAAAAATATGTTAAATGAGGAAATCAGACTAGAAAAAGTAATTATGGCAAAAAATAAACAAAAAAAACGGCAAGCCACCAGGACCAGATGGGATTCCAGCTGAGTTGTACAAGAGTCAACAAGAAATATTAGGTAATAGACTACTTAAAATATTTAATGCGGTTTTAGAAGAGGTGAAGGTCCCACAAACCTGGAACGAAGCGACGATCACAATTATTCCTAAAGAAAATACTGATCAAACAAATATTAGGAATTACAGAGCAATATCTTTGCTAAATGTGGACTATAAAATTTTTGTAACAATAATAGGTGACAGATTAAAAAAAACAATTAAATGAATATATTCACACTGATCAGAACGGCTTCCTTCCACGCAGACAACTTAAAAATAACATTAAGGATAATCTTGGATACTTTAGAATACGATGAAGAACATTGTGGAGACCAGGTGGCATTATTGTTTCTAGAGGCCCAAAAGGCATTCGACAATGTAAATTGGAATTTCATCCTGCAACAAATTAGATATATGGATTTTGGATAGAAATTTTTGAAATGTAATTTTGGCAACATATAGCAAACAGGGAGCCAAAATATTAATGAATGGGGAAACAACTTAACAAATTTAAAATACAAAAAGGAACAAGGCAGGGATGGCCATTATCGCCGCTTTTGTTTATTTTAACACTAGAAGTACAAGCAAGAACAATTAGAAAAGAAACACAAATAAAAGGATTAAAAATTAATAAAAAAGAGTTTAAACTACAAGCCTTTGCAGACGACTTAGTCTTTATTTTAGAAGATCCACAAAATTCGGGACCAAAACTTATAGAAAATCTAAAAGAATTTGGAGAAGTTGCGGGGCTGAAAATTGATAAGGAGAAAACTAAAATAATTACTAAAAATATGACAAATAAGCGAAAAGAAGCACGGACCAAGATAATGGATATCCAGATAGTAACCGAAGTAAAACACTTGGGGATGACAATTTCTGCAAGATGTATAACAATTAAGGAAGACAATTATACTCCATTAATGAAGCGCATAACAGAAGATTTGGAAAATTGGGTTAAATAAGATTATCTTTCATGGGCAGAATAGCAATTATAAAAATGAATGTATTACCAAAACTATTGTTTCTTTTTCAAAATACCCCCATAAAACTGGGAAAAAAATTATTCGGCAATTTGGACAAATTAATACTGAAATTTATATGGCAAAAGAAAAAACCCAGGATTAAATTAAAACTATTGCAGGATGCTAAAGAAAGAGGTGGCTTCGGCTTACCTGATTGGGAAATTTATTATCAGGTTGCAAAACTCACCTGGGTAAAGGATTAGATAACTTTTGATAATAGAAGAATGTTAGCTCTCGAAGGCCACAATCTACACGCAGGATGGCATGCCTTTTTATGGCAAGATAGACAAGAGGCCCACCGATACTTTTATAGACATATGATTAGGTAGGCATTGTTATCGGTATAGAATAAAACTAAACAACAAATATATATAGAAACCCCAATATGGTTATCCACATTGGAAGCTCTAATGCACCCAAATTTGCTTCGCCGAGGAAAAAATATCACATATGAGAATATTTTAAACAAATGGGAGAATTGAAATCAAGGCAAGAACTGAAAGAGCAAGGAGTAGATTTGGAATGGTGGGCCTACCTACAAGTCCAATCACGATACAGGAAAGACATGAAAGATCAGGGAATTAGTAGACAAAATTACAATTAGATGAAATTCTACTGGGAACAGATGATAAACTGATAAGGAAAATGTACAGAGTATTATTGGAATATAAATTAGAGGAGGAACAAGTAAAAGAAACGATGTTGGCATGGATAAAAGATATTGGACATGGTATTAATTTGGATAAATGGCAAATTCTATAACACTGGCCACATCGTACCGTGTTTCTCATAAAATAGGGCTGGGTCTTATATTTTTTTGAGCCCCGAAAAAACGGCTAGGCCGTCTTTTCGGGTGTGACTTAATTCCCCCCCTTGCATCCTCATCTAGAGCGCCCCGCGGGCAGCCTCGCCACCAGCTGCTCCTAACCGATGATC